GAAAAAAGGGAAGAAGGAAAAAAGGGGAAGAAGGAAACAAGGGAAGAAGGTAAAAAGGGAAGAAGGTAAAAAGGGGAAGAAGAAAATAAAAGGGGAAGAGGAAAATAAAGAGGGAAGAAGCAAAAAAAAGGGGAAGAAGGAAAAAAAAGGGGGATAAAAAGGCAAAAAAAAAGAGAAAAAAAAGAGGGAAAAAAATATTTTAAAAAAAAAAGAAGAAAAAAGAGGGGAAAAAAAAGGGAAAAAAAATCCCCCTTCCCCAAATTTTCCTTTCCCCCCCCCTCTTTTTAATCCCTTTTTGCCCTCCCTCCCCTCCTCCGCCATGAGTTCTTACGTCGCCAATTCGTTTTACAAGCCAAGTCCCCCCGTTCCTGCCTATTCCATGCAAAGTTATGGAAATTATGGAAGTGTGCCTGAGGTTCAACCACCCAGGTACCGCTACGGTGCCTCGGATCTGAGCATCCCCCTCCCCTCCTCCGGGGCGACCACCTCCCTCAACGGCTTGGAAATGTCTCCGACCCCCCGTGCTAACCCCGAGCGACCTTCTTGCACGGTCATGGGTTCTTCAGGGCATCCTTTAACCAGAGACGACCCAACAGCATCCCTAAATCCCGGGATTTACAGTCAGAAGAGTGTGAACACGCCGCTGGAGGAGAGATCTAAGAGCTCGGCTGAAATCAAAGCCGAACCCGTGCAAACAACCCAACAAGGAGCAGCCCAACTGCAGCAGCAACCACCTCCACAAATTTACCCCTGGATGACCAAACTCCACATGAGCCATGGTAAAACTTTCGCTTCTTGATTTTGATTTCGCTGGATTTTTTTTTTTTTTTTAATCTTTTTTTTTTTTGTCTTTTTTTTCCCCCCCTTTTTTTTTTTTTTTTGCCTTGGGTTTTTATAGGCCATACGGGGCAAATAATAAAAAACCTGAGGTCGTAAATTTTACGACTAAGGCATCAATTGCTCGTAAAACTGTCCACTAAAAGGCTTAGAGGCTATATACGCCCAAATTTATGACGGCATAATTGGATCATAGAAACAAAACGTGTATAAAAGGCGATATTCCATTTTTTTTGGGGGGGAAGGGGAAGGGGGGGGG